CAAATCAAACCGGGGGTGGTGGTGTATTGTTAGTTCCAGTTTCCCTTGCCCAGTATCATGATGAATGAGGTGAATATGGCACAGCATTACCAGTTTGTTTTCTGCAAAGACAACAGTCAAGAGAAGTGATACCTCCATCCACCCTAAAGGAAGATCTCAAATGGATCTGAAGAAAAGCCCCATTCTGTGTCTAAAATGATTCATTGTGAAAGTTTCTGTAACTACGCTATCCATCTGTCCATCATTATTCTCAGCCATTTACTAAACAAAGGAACTTACAGAATTCTGCTAGAACCCCTTAGGACTTAGAATATCAACTGCCAGGGCCATTTGACACTACAGGTAGTCTATGACTTCCTACTTTTTGTTTAATGACTGCTCAAAACTATTATAACCTCGAAAAGGATGCTTTACAGCCTCAAAGCACTTCTGTAAAATATTCCCCCCACAGTTGTGTAACCACATTTCAGGTGCTTGGCAACTGGCTCAGATTTACAACCTGTTGCAGCATCCTGCAGTCAAGTGTCCATTTGCGAGTTTTTGGGATTTGCTAATCATCTGTGTGATAATTACTTGATTCCCCTAGTACCTTTAGAAGATTACCTATATCCATACTATCTTATTTTGTACAATGTTAGATGGTCTTCCATCCAGGTAAGGTTTGTAGCAACCGTCAGTCTAAAATTGACCAGGGAATTATTTGTCCATGACTGTGGCGTTGCCCTTCCACTCTCAGATCACTATCACTGAAGAATAGAATACAGATTCCATGTGTGTATGGTTAAGATGGCAAATGTGAAAACCTGAGCCATTTATTGGGTAGCCTTGGTCATATACGTTAGAACTGCTTTCTGTCCCTGGCCTACTGCAACCCACAATATTTCTATAGACAGACCCAAGATAAATGATTTTTGTAATGTCCCCTTATTAATGAGTTAATGGGGCATATTGTGCAAATTGAAAGGCAATTCTGGTTCCATGACACTCTCCCTCCAAATTGTGCAAGTTACCACATTCTACCATGGCACTTGCATATAATTCCATTCTGTTTAGAGGGCCACTGAGCTCTCAGGCAGATTTTCAAGGCATATAGAAGGGTTTGATTTTAGAAAAACTGGGATAATTCTTTTATTGAAGTGAAGTTTGTATCTGCCTGCATGCAATGAAATTAAATCTTGAAGTATTTTATAATTCCATTTTACCTTGAATTTTGAAAACTAACTAAAAACTATGATGCATACTTTTAAAACCATACTTCCTAAGTAGTCTTGGAAGAGCTACAAAACTTAGTCCACGTTTGTTTGTTCATCTACTTGCCAGATGTAGTGAAGAAAGATAAAGTATTTGAAGGTTACTAACCCGTGAAATCAACCATGACCTGGTAAAATCACTCTGTTAATGAAAATGATATAATTTCCACATTAATCACCATCTGGCCTACTTGAATGAATGCTTGGCATCATGCAATATGAGTTGTGCTGTTTTTCAGAGAACTGAAACTTTTTAAAACTAATTTATCTTGTGGTTTTCAAAGGAAAGAAATCCGCCGTACCAGTAATCCACTATAATTCTTTTCAGTACTTTTCATTTATAGTTCTAGTGGCTAGAATTTATTTAGAAATATCAATTTTTATTTTGTTAACATTGAATCAAGTCTATTTAGAAAGTGTAAATTCATGGCTCATTTTTAGTAATGGATAAAGTCATCTTTTAAAAAAACATAAAGGCAATTCATGGAACAAAACATAATTAAACTCACACCTGGTATTAGAAATATCAAAGAAGAAAAACCATCAAACTTTGAATGTCTGCCTCAATAAAATGGTTTTTACGGTCTTGTGAAATGACAGAACTGGTACAATTCTATAGATAGGATATCTCACAATAGTGGACTTACGTATTTTTTGGACTATAAGACACACTTCCCCCCCTTAAAATGTGGGTGGAAATGTCTGTGCCTCTTACAGAGCGAATGTTGCTGAAGTCCAACTCACTCGCCGGCCCCCACCCTTCAGCCTCTACCTCCCAGCAATTTGCTTCCTTACAGCAAACAGCCTGGTCAGCTTCAGCACAGCCTGATTTAGCACGAGCAGCTGATTGGCGGTTGGATCTACCTCCCAGAATACCAATGATCAGCTGTTCCAGGCTGCGGGGATCACTGCTGCGCATCACTGCCCATTGCCGCGGCCTCCGGATACCCCATATTCAGCCTCTGCGCATCCCGTTCCATGTGGTGGGGATTGCCACTACTGCCACCTATCCCCGTCACTTGAAACAGGCCGGTAATGGGATGCATGGAGGCCAAAATTGGGGCACGTAAAAGATGAAAACAGGATGGGATGCAATTGTTTGATTGGCTGAAAGCTCTCCTGCTCATGCCCTCTATCTGCTGCTTTAGCAGGCACCTTCTTATTGTGTAGATGAAGGACAGTGCCAGAACAATAGATGGAACATCCACGAAGTCATGCAACATCCATGCATATTATTTATCTTTCCTGACTTCTTGCAATCAGTTTTGTCCTCAGAATGCATCTCAACCTGCCCTCAACACCACTGAGCATCTCATATCCGATAGGTACATTCTGTTCAGAAATGTTAAATGAATTTCAGGCAATCTGGTAAAAAAAGTTATGCTTTTTGTAACTACATATACCATTGCAGACAGACAGGATCGTGGGTATCTCCCTCCATGGGAGCATTCAAAGGAATACCTGCAGATTTTTTCCATTTCTGACTTGCTGTCAAGATTAATAATAATAATAAAAACACTTTCAACTTGAAAGAAAATAAAAAAGAAGAAAAGCTGCTGCTGAGAGAGACCCCACCCTGGGAAATGCAAGAAATCTCTGATTTACATTTAAAGATGTAGCAGCACACACAACAAGAGTATTTATGGATCACAGGTACACCCTTGCTCAGCAAAACAACTTCTTTTTACGCTTGAAATGCTACAGGGATAAAAGAACCATAGGAAACAAGTCAAACCAACAACTTCAAACGTGCCTTTGAAGTTAAATGCACCATGGACTGCATCAACGGTTCACAAAAGCATAAACAGTATGCATGCGCACACATATTTAATAGCATAAAGCATTTTGTTTATGTGTGAATTTTAATGAGCTATGAAATCTCCATAAGCAAGAAGGCACAAGAGTGCAGGGCATAGAGTGCAGTTATGAATAAATGATACAGCAACATAAAAAATTCTAAGAGCCAATTAACCAGAGTTATTCTTTGTTTCTGAAATGCACTCCAGAGTTACAAATCACAGGAGAACTGACCAGATCAGAGCAAGCTATCAATGCAGATGTTTTTGTGGAAAGGGTAATAATAATAATTGAATTACTTTGATGATGTCTTACTAAATTTGTGTCCATGTGCACTCTGCGTTCTCTTTTATTCTGTTGATTGTGTAGCTGGTGTCTTTGAAGATGAAGACATCATCTACAAGGACACAAGCTATACGATGAAAAGAATGCATGTGCAAGCATACATAAGCATTAACTCTCAGCAGAAACCAACATTATGTATACATTCACCGAAGTAGCAAAGAAAAACAGTGTTCAGTCCAACTATGTGCAGGTAGTCCTCAATTCATTACCACTCATTCATTAATTATTTAAAATTATGATGACACTGAATGAGGGGGATCTTTCCAGTCAGCTTCTCACACGAAAAGTCAATCAGGAAGCCAGCAGGAAAAATAAAAAAATGCTCCTGTAAATTCTTTCTGCCACTTTTTCCCCCAAGCAGCCACACTACAGAGTATGGAATCCCAGGGATCTTGTATTCCTTAGCAAATGTCCCATGACCAGTCATAAACCATAATGTGCACCCACCTACCTTTGGCCCACTTTGCACCCACCCCCTTTGGCCCATTTGTAGCCTATGTTGGTTTGCCTGCCCATGACCTATGCCAGCCAGCCTACCAATGGTCCCCAGCGCCGGCTACACTTCCTAATGCTTCTCCTGCAGCAGGCTCACACATAATTCCTTCATTCCCTACCTGAGACTCCCACATCTTCCTGCTCAATAGTATGGCAGATAGGATAGCTGGGATTGCCATCACTAAGCAATACAGTCACATGATATCACCTTTATGACCACGTTGCTTAGAGATGGCAATCCTGGTTGTAGTTGCAGGACTACCTGTACATGTATGTGAAATTAAGCAAAGGAGTGATATTACCTCCAGCATTCCACCTATACCATGTGATGGGTGAGTCTTGCCCCAGCTCCTGCGACCCTAGCAGTCTGAAAACATGAAAATGCAAGTAGATAAATAGATACCACTTCATTGCGAAAGTAAGTGTTCCATGTGTACCTTATTTATATTATTTATATTTCACATAAATAAACACAATTTTCCCATACTGGATAATGGATTTTGCTATAGAATTAACAGATTATTTAATTGATTTTATCTATTTATCAGAGTTGTACATTACTATTTAACTTTTTGTTGCTATGATGTTAACAGTTCAAACATTTAAAAATTGTTGTAGTTTTTACATGTATACCGCTAGATGGCAGTAAAACAACTATTCTGTAGAAAATATATACTTTATAATTGTCAAGTACGTCTATGAAGTACTGTATCTAACCTGACAAACTAATATTCCACCCAAAAAATCAGAATAAGCAAGAGTTGGGTGTTGCTATTTTCCATTTTTATTAATGATTTTCTTTTGTACAGTATCATTTAAAAACATTTTCTCTACTTTTATTCTTTGTGGCAAAAGAGTATATTAGTCTGAATCACTGAATCAATTCAAATCAGGTAATTTATTACTGAATATATGGATATTTAGGCTGATTTCTTTCAGTAGATTTCTGTTTTCTATTAAGTCAAACATGTCTTTTTATATTTTAGATATAGAGGTCCCATTATTGTTACTATAACAGGGCGTATCCTTTCCACATTTTCACATAAGATAAAATTAACTTTTGGTGGAATATATCTGTTTTAATTATTTCCTCTGTTGACATGTTCCCTCTAGAAGTCATTGTGCCATCTGCTGTCCATTTGTGGAATGGGAAATCATCATACTGATATTAATAAGTTTATTTCAACTCTTGGCTTCACATCAGTAGATTACTACTCTAAACTCATTGAAAATGTAAGTATTTTGTATAATTTGGCAAAGTGAATCTTCATTTACCCCTGATTTCGACACATTCAGAGAGGAGCTACCATCTTCCTCCAAGTTGTCAGGCATCTACAGTATTGGCAGTTGCTATTAATTCTCATGAACAACATAAAGTACTAATTCCTACCAGTTTATGAAATGGAGGAATGTGGCTGTTTTAACTTACAGCATAAAAGATCAGCCGGCAGTTTCTATCTAACAAAGAACTGGTTTGCTAAATATGTTTGATAATAGCTGTCTCTTTGTAAAGAATATAATGGGAATGATTGTAGGACAAGTTTTTTATTTCCACTCCAGTTTTTCTTGCCTAAAGGATAATTTCTGTAGCCAAAATGAGAAAGGCCAAGACAAAGCAGTGGAACCAGAATGAAAACCAAATTGGATTTAACGTAGTTTTAAACCATGCACAATTTCCCTATTTTCTATATATAGTTAGCTTTTTATTATGCTTGCTTTCTGGTGAACCAATTAAATATGTAAATACTGAAGATTGATGTAGCCCATCAAAGCAAATATACTGTATTATTACATAATTAATAGACATAATAGTGAATAATGAAATTAGATGTAAATATTGCATTTAGGACTAAAGATAAAAATTTGGAATGGGTATCTTCCTAGGACACTTATAACTAGAGTTTAAACAGAGAAAATAAAAGGTAGCTTTCCTTCTTAGAAGAAAAAGCTATTTTTCTCTAGTTACCATAACAGTAACTAAAGTATGTTTAAACACATGGAATATTTCAGTCTGCCTTTTCAATCAAACTTTGTTCCTAACCATTGGTTTAATTTAATTGGGTTAAATTTATGGAAGCTTGCATATTTTGAATTGTTTCTTTGACATAAAATAAGTTTGGAGAAATTATTTTCACATCTTTCATGGGTCTCAACAAATAGATTGTCCATTCATCTGGAAGTGCAAATTCAACGGGGAGAAAATATCACCAATGTAATCGTTACTGGATCATTTTCTATATTATTTTAAGTTGATAATTACATTTATTTAACAGATAGTCTCATCATTAGTGGCGGAACTCCACGGAACCCAGGTTAATGGATTTAACAGTCAACAAAAGTAGGTATTAATAGTAGCAGAACTAAGTAACTAGCGTGAATAAAGTTCTATGGAAAGATATTGAAGACTGAAACTTATGAACATTGCATGGACATATTCCAAACTATGCATAAGCATGGTGTTATTGAGGAACACATTACTTATAGAAGTGATCTGTGTTGCAAATAATGTAAAAACAGAGCTGAAAGAAAATCCTCAAACTTTTTTGTGGTTCTAGTTGTTTTTTTTGCCAATTTTACCATTGAAAAGGCAGGTGTAGCTTTGTCATCTTTTGGACTTTTCCTTTATCTCCCAGTTTCAGATGGGTTGCCTGCCTTGATTTTTTTTTTTTTTAATGTAGTAGTAGTGCCTATGATGGCATGATCAGGACCCATACTTAATGTTTTTAGAGTTGGTGGCGCTATAGTACAAATGACCAGCATATGACCAAATTTTGGAGAATTTCAATAGTTTTTTTGACAGCAAAGGCATCCATGGGAGCAAAAATAATAAAGATGCTGAGTACAGTCCATTGGTTGAAGCCCTAGCCCTTTTCCGTAGGCATTCTTCCTCTTCACAGATATTAGTGTTAAAATACTTATTTTTAAAATAATATTAATACTAAACCACATTGTGTTTTCCCACTTCAAAATGGCAGTTTTCAGCAACTGATCAAAAGTGATTTGAGGAGTGGGAGGAAGCTTGAAGACTTAGGCTGCCATGGTTGCTATATAGAAGCACCATGACATAATGGCTCCAAGGTATATTGGTGTAAAATTCTTATTTTTCCTTATTACTACATTTCTAGTTAGGTCAGCCTTCCACTAGCAGGAAAAGATTGAAGTTTAGAGTTGACTACTAAATCACTTTATTGCAGTCATGAACCAGCCTAAATGTTTCAAATATCGAAAACTAAATTAACACTATCGAGCTAAATAGAAAAGGTGTATACAAGTAAACACTTTTGTCTAAAAGACAAAGTATTAAATCATAAAAATGCTAGGATGTTTGCTCAGGCTATGCATATATGACAAAACAGAAAAGAGATTAAAATGAGCAATCCTAGTAATATGGACTTTAAAATAGCAACATTAAGTTCAAATACAAACATACTGATAGATAAAACAATAAAATTATCCAAAAGGGATTTCGGGATTATAAATTTCTCATACAGACCCTTGTCAAACCTGAAAATATAATATAAGAGCTGACATGGCATGAGTACACCAAAGCATAAAAGAAAAGTTAACAAGTAACTAATGGTTAATGCTGAGCCTGAGCCAAAACTGGCTCTTAGGTTTATTTATTTTATCTTTTATTTATTTATTTTGATTTGTCAATCGCTTACAAGATCATAGGTATAAGTATATACATAGTTATGAATACATGAAATGGGTACATATAAGAAAAATAAAAGAAACAATAGGACAGGGACGGTAGGCACGTTGGTGCGCTTATGCACGCCCCCTACAGACCTCTTAGGAAAGGGGTGAGGTCAATAGTAGACAGTCTAAGGTTAAATTAAGTTCATTTGCTCTTAGTTAATCAGCTTGATTTGCACACTGCCACACAAAATCCGGCAGTCTTGTGAAGAGCGTAGTACATAGGAACTTGTGTGCTGTAAGTGTGCCGCTTTGTAAACAGAACTTCTTGACAATGTGTATTTAATGAACAATTAAAATATTTTTTTAAAAAAATGTTTATGTACTGCCCAAACTCTCAGTGACTGGGCAGTTAAAATGTTTCTTCATCTATGTAAGAGGTATAATTTTGTTTCTACAGCATCTCTTGTCGAGTAACCTCCATGTCTCTTCTCTGCGTACCTCTTATAACTCTGCCTGGTATAAAACCACTTATTGAAGCTCTCCTTAACTATCATGATCATGGACCAGAAGATGTGCTTCACTCTCAGTTTTTAGAAGCAGTGAATGAGGCTATATTACAGTAAGTAGACTCCAAATAAGAAGATTTTCTTGTCTGGTAACAAGAATGCTAATTCAATAACCCGATCTGTTGAAAATTAATTTTATATATCTGTGCTGGACTAAGAATTTATTGTGATCTATTAATAGTTTATGGACAAGTTCTCAGACATGGGTTTTGCTTATTGTTTTCATAAATTATCTTGATTATTCCCTCATTTTTTGAGTTTTTGTGTGTTCTGCATAATTGATGCAAATGTTGGAAATCTGTTTCTACAGATGGATTTCATTTGGTAAATTGAAAAAGAATGTATTTTATTTGTAAAATAACTTGTTTGCCACTGCTGTGATGTTTTTTGTAAAGTCTTATTCATATATTCAGAAGAGATAAGTGCCTTTTGGCCACTGATATAACATTCTTCCTTTTTTTTCTTTTTCCAGGAAAAAGTAGAAATCTATATCACCTACAATAAATAGCAAATTCACATTTTATTTTGTATTTTGTCCAGAATTAGTTATTGTTTTGCACACCTTTGTTTTAAGGGAAGTCTTCTTCAATCTAGGATATTCCAGCGTGATAAACTAAATGTCGCATTATTATCACCAGCCAGTATGATCAGTGGCTCCATTGCCTGGGGATGATGGAAGCAATTATCAAATATATTTGGAGGACTCTATGATTATTTACTACTGCTCTAAAATGATTAGTTTCTCTTCCACTGCTTATCTCTTTGGTTAATGTGGGAGGTACTGGAAGAAAAGGATAGAATCTCTAATGGGAATGCCTACCAACAAAGTCAATGGGGAAGCCAGATTCATTTAACAACCATATTATAAGTATTCATTGACTTACAACCACAATTGACTCCTCAGTTTCTGTTGCTAAACGAGACTTGTTAAGTGAGTTTTGCCCCAATTTGTGACTGCCATCATAAATATGAGTCAGTTGCCAAGCATGTGAATTTTGATCACATGACTATGGGGATGTTGCAATGGTTGTGTGGAAAAAAAGTTTATAAGTCACTTTTTTCAATGCCATTGCAATTTCGAAGAATCACTAAATCAATGGTTGTAACTCAAGAACTAACTGCAGTGGTTCCCTTAACTGTAGCAAGAAAGGTTGCAAAATATATATAATTGTGGATAAAAATATTTGGGATGATGTTAGCGTGTTGCTTGGTGACATAATACCTGTATTTTTTTATGCAGCTGATGCCTTGTTGACTGAGTTCCAAATGTGTGCTTTGTATTTCATACCTTGAAAAGGATTACTGCAGCATGATTATATACGTACATACATGCATACATACATACATCTTTTGCAAAGTGTAGCATGCACACAGTAGATCATATAGCAATAGCACTTAGATTTATATACCACTTCAAAGTGCTTCACAGCCCTCTCTAAGCGGTTTATAGAGTAAGCATATTGCCCCCAATAATATGGGTACTCATTTTACTGACTTCGGAAGGATGAAAGGCTGAGTCAACCTTGAGCCAGTGAGATACCATGCTAAATTGGAGGAAATCAAAACCCTAAATATATAGAAATAAACTAGTTAATAGTAATGAAAGAGGAAGGGAAAACAAAGGAGACTTTGTCGGATAATGAGCAGGCATAGCTCATGGGGGAAAAAAACAGGATTTTGCAATAGTTACTCAAGTTTTAATCGTATGATGTTAATTCTGTGGAGAAAGAATGGTTAGCTTTTAGACCACTGATACATCTTTCGTTCCATAGTAAGAAAAAAATGCAGAGGACTTGTTTCTGGCCATAGTTTGATTTTCTTACCAAGCAAAGTTTCCATTATATTAATTGCCTAGCTCTTTGCTATGAATTTCATCTTTGTTTTGAAATGCTGCGAAGTAAACTGTGTCATTGTTTTCTTAAAGATTGATATTTTAAAATAGGATGATGTGAAGTCCAATGGCTGTATAAATTTTATTCAAAAGCACCATATTATTCCTCCCAATTTGGAATGTAGTTCAAAAATATCATTTGTAGCAAAGGACACTAAAAGAACACTTCTCTTTGGACACGGATATAAAAATAAGAAGAAAGGCAAGAATTGCACAACACATTAGTGAAATGTATACAGAAATCTCAACTCCTTTTTTAATACAGGAAAAATATCTCGTTATCTGAAACTGCTGTCCTGCAATTATGGCTTCGTCACCTTCCTAGTCTGGAGAAGGCAGTACTACGAAATATTGAAGAATTAATATCCAGTCAAACAAAGTCAATGCAAGAGATGGCATATGTGATAAAAGATTCTTTATTGGTGAGTATAGTCTGCTGCAAGTATTGAAAACTCAACACGTGGGCTTTAGATCGTCTACCACCTCTCCCATCAATGTTGCAGTTTCTCATTATTATAATTTCAACTTCTTCATGTTCAAAAGGCACAGATTCACAAATACTCTTATCTGCATAAGAGTATTTCAGTTCAAAAATTCAATTCATCCAATTAAAGGAAAACATGGAAAGGAGAGTAGATTGGAACTAAGGAATCTCTTATACTTTCTCAGAAAATTGATCTCCCACTTCTTTCCCTTCATGGTTTTTCCCTTAGCAAGATTATTTTTGCTAATAGTTTAATAAACAATTAAGTTGCCACATGTTCAAGTGCTCGAAATGAGTGCTCGAAATGTACCATATGTGCTAAGCCAATCATAAAACTTCCTTGGGAGAGGCAGTACAGTTCTTTGCTTCTTAGGGCAAATAGCATTATAAACAATGAGCCTTATAACATCAAACCAACTAGATTATCCTAAGCTCAGATAGATCTCCCATTCTGCCTTAGACCCTAAATACATATTTGAAGAATGATGCTTATAAAAATGTTTAAATATTAAACATCAGGATTTGTCTCTTATATCTGATGGGAGGGAAATCTACAGGAGAGAAGGGCACCTTTTAAAATAAAATAAAATTGTATAACTAAAGCAGTATGAATGTGATAAATTGTAAACATATCCAGAAAGATAGAATAGTAAGTCATGATTTTAAAAAGTTTCTGTATTCTAAAATGAGAATATGACATTTTATGTTGCTATATGGTCCAGATTTAATGATAAATAACAGTTGAATTAATTTTATATAGGTATTTGTATATGTGATATATCTTTTCTTGTTAATTAGATAGGAAGTTATTACTTTTAACTTTTTAAATTACTAAAACATATTTAGAATTTGCTTTTCACTGTTTGGTACTATTTAATGTGCTTTCCTTTTGTATGTCATCATTTTGACAAATGATATAAAAAACAAAAAAACAACTTATAATTGAAATTAAAATGATTTAATATGAAAACATGACTGTCAATAATAGATATTATGTAAATGTTTTAGAATATATTTTAATTAAGTTGCCTAAGTGATATAGCAAATGTTATTCCTTAACGTTTTGCAAGATGACACTAAACAGTATTTCAAAGCAACAACTTTTCAAATCTATTCTTGGTAGTGAAACATTGCTAGGTTTTATTATGGAAGAAATATAATACGCAACACTTTTAAGTTAGGGTTCTAAATGTAATTAAAATGTGATGGTCTAGTAATTTCTGGTTTATACTGTGTGCTGCTCTTACGTTTCCATCCTTTTGGAAAGAGTGAAACTGATAATGAAAATTCTCTAGTTACCACAAACTGCAAAAAACTAATCATAAATGTCACATATATTGCACATAGAACAACTAATCTAAAAATATTAATTTTCCTGTGAGGAGTTGGTCACACTACATCTTTCACATGATTAACAGTGGACACCTAAAACTGTGATCTACTCACTTTGCATTGGATATCTTGCCAACAACCAGAGAAAGGATGCAATTTTGTGTGTGATGCTGTGAAGAGTTAACTTGGTGTTTCAGAGCTATTCATGCAGATGCCTATTCATAAGCATCACAGCTGTAACTGAACTGAGCCTTAAAAAAAATTTCTTTTAAACCCATAGTTCTTCTGTGTACAATTGTGTTGGGTAAGCCTAATGACCATGTTTTGTAGCTCCTAGACTGACTTTGCAATAACATAAAGAACTTGAGTCTCAGGCCCACACATGCAGATAATAACTACTAAGTTAGCTTTTAGCTTGATTTCCCAGTTAATTTCTGTCTTTTAAGTACCAAAGGGCTATGTCTGCATTCACCAAACACCGTTATTTCCTGTTTCCTAAGGCCGTGAGAAAAATTAGATCCAGAAATTGCAACTTGAGAGAAAACCTGTGACAAATATGAATTGTACCATCTTTGGAATTATTTATTAATACTATTATTGGGAATCAATTAGTGAATGATTAGTCAATTAGAGATAAAATAGTAGCTGTAATAAAGGGTTAGGAAGAAATGTTTCTTTGTACCAGAATAACAAAATAATAGAATAACCAAATTGGAAGGGTACTTGAACTCCCTGCTTAAGCAGAAACCCTATACAAATGGTTGTCCAATCTCTTCTTAAAAGTCCACAACTTCTGGAGGCAAATTGTTCTATTGATTCACTGTTCAAATTATCAGAAAATTTCTCCTTAGTTCTGGTTTGATTCCTTCCTTGATTGGTTTCCATCCATTGCTTCTTGTCCTGCCTTCAAGTGCTTTTCAGAGTAGGTTGACCCCTCTTCTTTGTGGAAGCCCCTTAGATATTGGAACACTGCTATCATGTTACCCCTAATCCTTCTTTTCATACCCAGTTCCTGCAACCGTTCTTCATATGTTTTAGCCTCCAGTCCCCTAATCATCTTTGTTGTTCTTAGCACTCCTTCTAGAGGCTCAACATCTTTTTTTAGATTGTGGAGACCAAAACTAGATGCAATATTCCAAGTGTGATCTTTCCAAGGCCTTATAAAGTGGTATTAACACTTCAGATGATCTTGATTCTATCTCTCTGTTAATGCAGCCTACGACTGTGTTTGCTTTTTTTGGCAGCTGCATCACATTGCTGGCTCATATTTAAAGATTGCCAATTAGGACTCTCAAGACTGTCTCAAAGTTACCACTCTCCACCTTAATAGTGCTGAAGAAAACCTTTAGAGCTGCCACATTTCCAAAAGGCCCTGGGATTTTAAAGGCATATTTATTAGGCAGGTACAGGTAGTCTTCGACTTACAACCACCATTGTGCCCAAAATTTCTGTTGCTAAGTGAGATAGCTGTTAAGTGAATTTTGCCCCATTTTACAACCTTTCTTGACATGGTTGTTAAATGCATCACTACAGTTAAGTTAGTGACACAGTTGTTAAGTGAGTCTGGCTTCCCCATTGACTTTGCTTGTCAGAAAGTTGCAAAAGGTGATCACATGACACTGGGACACTGCAACTATTATAAATATGAGTCAGTTGCCAAGCACCCAAATTCTGATTACGTTAGCATGGGATGCTCCAACGGATATAAGTTTCAAATCCAGTGGTAAGTCACTTTTTTCAGTGCCATTGTAAATTTGAATGTTCACTAAATGAACTGTTGTAAATCAAATATTACCTGTCAGTTACTGCAATGGCAATAGTTCTGCTATTTAAAGCTCAGAGTTATTTATTGAAACATTTACCACTTTTGACTAGTCAATAAATTTGGCCATTCTTTCTCTCCTAATTCCTGTTTCTGGAGTATAATTGATTGGGCGTAATACCATTACATCTTCACAAAGGATATTTATAGATAGGAACAAAATCCTATATTTGCTAGCTAATTATATTCCAGGTGATCAGGGGTATTTCTTGTAGCTATTTGCACCTACAGACATAAGAAGTAAAGGTGCTCTTTAGTTGACTCGTGACTACATCATTGCAATTGTCTTGGTATTATTAAAAAGTTGCCATTTTCCCACTGTGATTTTTATACTTCTCATTCTAGCTAGCAACTCAGATTTTCCCAGGTGGTCCCGTATCTAAATAAAAGGAAGACCAGCCCTCTTCAACTTCTGAGATCAGCCAAAGTTGGTGGAGTGCAAATAAGATTGGAGACTGACAAAAACAAATAAAGCAAAAACCTCTCAGATTTTGATGGGCTTAAGTCAGTTTAAATACAGTCAGATTTTGGCTGCTTTTGAACTATAGTCCACTAATTCATTCTATATTGCTAAGGCAATTTTCTGCTTTCAGTTTAGCCTATTCAGGATAATATTCTTAGCCAAAGTCTTTAGTCTTTTTTTGTTAGAGCTTAAATGGCAGCAAGGCTTAAGTTCTTTTAAAGGAATGTTATAAAATGCCAAAACTGCATGAGAAAATTTCAGTTAATCACATATAGAATTGCTAGATTCAAGTTCTAAAGCATATCATATTTGCAGAGCACATAAATTGTAAAATTATTCAGAGACAGCTTCCAGATAATTATTAAAACACTAAGTTTGGTTTTGCTCAGACGCTCATGTTCTAATTACACAGGAACAATTAAGTAGCTTGTTTCCAGAAACAGTAATGTATTTAAAAATGTCCAGTGACCTTCATATCTAAACAGGATTTGAATTGCTGTTTCTTTTTGTGCTGCATACTTGGGTTTTTTTAACTCATTGTGTTGAATTCCAGCATTCTTTTTTTTTAAATGCTACTCTTCTTCCAACAAAATATTAGAAAGGAGGACAATTAGCACTGTTACGAAATTCTTGAAGACTGTGGTAAATAAAATTGTATACTTTATTTTAAAAATACTTATCCTTGATGACCTGAAAATCAAATCATTTGCCTTCTCCTTTTTACACATGTATAACAGAGAAATTTATAGAATGAATACATTTTTTGATTAAGTTTTTTCCATCTATCCTGTTTAAAATGATAAAAAATTGAATTTTTTTTAAAAAAAGACCTCTTAAGTGGCACATACAAATATGAGAAAAATAGCTGTGAATTCCTATGAACACTAGGTGGCACAAGTTTAATATGACAAATAAAATAGTTTGGAAGAAAATTAAAGACACAGAAAAAGGTGCCCTGTAATCCTTCCAGTATGATGGTGGCATTTAAGAAAAAAATGAACCAATTTTTTAGAATATGGATGCTCTTTTAACAGTATGCATTACAATATGATAAATATATCCAGGAAACCTTTTATTCACATTGAAGTATTTTCTAGAGAAACATGAAAAGTTTTTATCCTACATCTGAAACAACTATCTTAAAACTCTTAATATTTTAGAAGAATTGTTTTAATAAAATCCGTACAAGAAACTAAATATTAGCAGCACCAACCAGGTGAACGGTATGTTGTAAATGTCACTAACTTCATGGTGACATTTGGCAGCCATAATTAAGTTAAAGCTACTCTTTGTGCAAAAAGAGAAATTCATCCTCTTCCTGTATGGATAAAGGAATAAATTATTCTATTCTGCACGTTTTATCTTTCCACATTTTTCTCCATTTTGACCCACATGGAAAAGGAGCACTTTATTTCTGGAAAAGAAGATAAATAAAGGATAGAGTTGCTCTCTATATGATTCCATATGAAAGGAAGTGAAGTGCTTTGTCAGGAAAGGGAGGAATTTCAGTGGACCCTATTTTAGGAGAAAAATAGGGGTAATAAAATTATAAAAGTAGACAAATCAGGATTTTATTGCAAAGGTGTCTCTGTTTCTTCTGCGTCTTTATGCTTTTCCACTTTTAGTTTTAGCTTAGTTTCAGTTTTCCACAATTTCAAAAGGGGTTTTTCAATACTGAAGTAAAAATAATAATAACCTTTTTCTTCAAAAGTAATTATAATAAAACCAATAAGATTCAACTCATAAAATGTTATTAAGTGAGGAAATAATAAAAAATACTTGTAATGTGAATACTAGAAAAAGGTTTTACAGGAAATGGGATAAATTTAATTTGGTTGTATTCAGCCTTAGATTGTGCTGTGAGACACAAGATAGTTAGATAATTGGTAATGCTGTCAAAAAAGGAAGAAAATGATATGGAGCAATGGAATCTCATCCATGTAAATATGGCAATTCCATCCTAAAAAACACTCAGAATACAAAGACATGAAAGCAGGAACCCCATTTTTATAGTAGATAAAATGCGTAAATAGAATAGAATAGAATAGAATAGAATAGAATAGAATAGAATAGAATAGAATAGAATTCTTTATTGGCCAAGTGTGGTTGGACACACAAGGAATTTGTCTTGGTGCAAATACTCTCAGTATACATAAAAGAAAAGATACATTCATTAAGAATCATAAGGTACAACATTTAGTGATAGTCTTAGGGTACAATAAGCAATCAAATCATACTAGGAAACAGTCAATATAAATCGTAAGGATATAAGCGTCAAAGTTACAGTCATACAGTCACAAGTGGGACATGATGAGTGATGAAAAGATTAACGGTAATAGTAGTGCAGATTTTGTAATAATTGAACAGTGTTGAGGGAATTATTTGTTTAGCAGAGTGATGGCTTTCAGGAAAACTGTTCTTGTGTCTAGTTGTTCTGGTGTGCAGTGCTCTATAGCGTTGTTTTGAGGGAAGGAGTTGAAACAGTTTATGTCTGGGATATGAGGGGCCTGTAAATATTTTCACAGCCCTCTTTTTGATTCGTGCAGTATAAGCTAACAAAACCTGGGATCAGGTACTCATCAAATAAGAGGAGCCTAATAATGCTTTAGAGAATAGTGATATTGGTTTCATAATAACACCTCCATTTAAAACTAGTCTCTCCTAGAAAATAGAAATTGCTGGGGCAGTTCACATCTAATGAAGCTTGCTCCTGAAAAGGTTAGACTGCTTGCTAATTTTGTTTAGCCTTCCTTACAAAAAGGCTAGAAGAGGGGGACTACTTGTATGGGTTATCTTAACTTCAGCTTTGCAAAGTCTTGTTTAGTCTCTAGCTGAACAGAGTCAAGCAGCGCATGTATTCAGTCTCTGCATCCCATGTCTCTGTATATATCCTCTCAACCCTTTAAATTCTTTAAACAAGGAAGTTCAAAAGGTACTTTTCCATAAATTTACTTGAATGCACTTAGAAACTTCCTTTAGGCATAGTTGCTGAACATGATGAGTAGGGATTTTAACACCTCATCATGATCAACTTTCATCCAGTTTCTCTACTTTTTTTAGAAAAAGACCTGAACAAAACTATTTACTTTGTATATCCATTAACATTGTACTCTTGCTTAACAATGGTACCTGGGACTGCCTGAACTGCTATCACTAAACAGGGTCACATGTCATTGTGCTTTACAACCACACCACTTAGCAATTCTGTCCCAATTTCCTTTGTAAGCCATGAATTACCTCTAGATAATTTTTCTTTTAAAAAATGATAGTTGTCGTAAATAATTGTTTTATTATGGCAAGTGATAGACAGGCACCCATCTCTCCCTCTCAATATTTGTTGTGTAGTTTGGATTGCAGGTCCCAATCTGCATGGATTACTGTCTCATTTAGGCGTATAGCCCTAAGATTAAAAAAAATAATTAAAAATGGTTTGTTCCAAATTCTCACTTTTCTATGAACTTGGCATCGAGTTCTGCTCTAGTGGAACACAAGCATTGACATCCTTGAATATATAATTCAATTGGAGCATAGTTCATAATAAAATAAACATTTTGAATGTGGTTGTTTTATGCTAAACAAATTTCTCATTTTTATGTATATACTTAGTAAATATATATTTGATTATTATTACTGCCAGCTTCATTTGCCTTTTAACGCCACTATTTGGGAGAAAAATACTTTTTGATAGTAAGGCTAAACTAACCTGACAAAATTCATTTTTCTTCTTATTGTTGAAAACATAACTTATTTTCCCTACAAGATTCTAAATTACTCAATTTTTTTTGCAGCACCGAGCTGCATGTCATCCAGCTGTCTTCAGAACTATTGATGAAATTTTCAAGTAAGTTTGCATGTATTTATGTGGAAGGAAGAACTAGTTAAAACGATTAGATCATATACAGTTGTTTGAATATGATGGATACATATTTGATAGAATGAATTATTACATGTCAAGATTTATATATATGTGTGTATGTGTAGGCATAAGGATATTTTTAATATATCTTAACCTGAAGCCATTACTTTCTACATGATGGCCTTTTTAAATGAATTTTTGGAATGGTTTTTCTTCACAAAACTGCTTCAGATTCTTTTATAACACAGTTTTTGGGGTTGACTTACTTATATTACTTACATAAAGATACAATGTAAACAATTGAATTTAATTGCATCATTCAGAAACCAAGCAGGATCTGAGCTAATAGGACTTAGATGGAAAACTAAGAATTAAAGACTAGACTAGATTATTTTAAACATAATCCCCCCCAAAATGGGAATGACAAATAACTTCACAATATTTCAGAAAAAAATTGCATTGATGTCTTTCTAATCTCAGTGGGAATTAAATTGTATGCAAAGGTGAATTTATATTACTTATAATTAAAATAATGAGAATATGAAAAAATGGCTAATTCTGTAGTGCAAAGAAAAATTGCTTTTAGTTATTTATCTCTCTGTGTAAATTACATCTGAAGAAAACTGATTTATTGGCAGAGACTTCCATAATCCCATTCCCTAAATTATTTTGATGGAATGTCCTTCCTTTTTAATTAATTTATTTTAAGTGGTTAAGGCACCTCTTATTGATTATTAGGCTCCTTGACTCTTAAACCCTGAATGAGTGGATTAGAAGCAGATGATCTTCTGAGTATAGAATGTGATAGCACCATTTTGGGGAATTGAGGATTAGAAATGCAAATTCTTGCTCAGAAAACATGAAAATGTCTATTCTTGCCCCCTTCCTCTGTTATATTCACTTAATGGTTACTTCCACTAGAACCAGTCTTTTTCCTTTTCTAAGCATTCACAGTTTCAGAATTGGAAGGATGGGTAAATTAGTGAGACTGATAAAACAGTTTATCCAATTCATCATTTCTATATGAAATTGCTGATGGGGACTTGTAGAGCTGCACATCAAAAACATACTTATTGACTCATTAACTTAATTACACTTCCAGCTTCCAAAGCCAGCAGTATATCTAAAATGTTGGGGATTAAGAGAAATGAAAGAATATTGTAATGGAATGCACAGGAATCTTTTCTATTGCCATTTTCAACATTTGTTTAATTTTACAGGCATATTTTAGTGTGAGATTTTGTAACTAAGAAACTTAACTGTGTACTTCAATTATAGTAGATATAGTACATCATATAGTTTACTGTTGAAAAACAATGTTCCAACATCATCAGAAGGATCTCTTTTAACGGCAGTAGTAGACAGGTTTTTAATATAGTCATATTCAAGAGCAAGCAAAATGAAGTTGGGTTTTCTTTACTTCCCAAGTGGTCTAAAAGCTTAGATGGGTTAAGTCCAAAGGTTGAGACATGGGAAGAATGTTCTTGTTCGGGTATTTTTTGTCTCCTTCTGTCAATTAACGACTGTGTGATTGGCACACTCATAATCTGACCTGTCGTAATTAAGCTTTTCACTGCTCAGGAATGCACTGCTGGAAACTGATGGAGCTCAAGAAATAATGACTGTAATGCAGGTGTTTACACAGTGCTTTGTTCAAGCTTACCATGAGAATAATAAGCAGGTTAGTCAAGTTGCTTTTTCATTATTTTTTTAAAAATTAAATGCTTCAAAATTTAGGACAAAAGAATCATCTTGAAGTTCAGATTGGTGGGCAAGTATAACAACCCAAATAGTATCTTTAGACTTCAGTAAACCATTTCACTTTAAATGATATCAAATTTAAATTAGATACAGCCAATAAATATCTATCAATCTACATGTTACTTAGCTAATATCAACATTCACTACATATTTCAGTGCACATGTAATTGATCATGGTGTGGAAACTTTAGATGCATCTTTATAACTTATTAGGTCATCATCTAGGATAAAACATAGCTATCTGTTTTAATATGAAGTAAGATGTTAATTTTTTGCATTCAGGTGACCTTTTTTCTTTTGTTTTAGCATAAAACTCCTTTGGTTTGTATATCTTCTCTATAATAACTTTGCAATAGCTCCTATTTTGCTTTAATGAGTTAAAGTAGCTGTGAAAATTTACGTTTGGGCCACACAAATACTTCAAGATTTCCTCTGCTCAAAAGTTGCTTGTAGTAGATGCTCCAGTGGACTTTCCATGTTGTGAGGGAGGTCTATTGATCAGTGGTTATTCATCTTGCAAATGATGCAGTAATTAATTCTAATTAGCATTATAATTAAATCTCTTTTTGAGTTCCAAAGGGTATTAATTAGGAGTAAAATTGCAGCTGTCTAAGTTAATATGTATAGGTGCCACACCCATTAAGTTTGCTTATATGGCAGCAGCAAATTTTGCTGCCTTGGCATGAATGGGATGGCTGGGTGGAGAACTTAATTCCATACCCTTTAAATAGCCAGAAGCCAACTGTGTTAATCACTTTGTTGTTTATGTGCTTCGTTGTTAAGCTTTTTTAAATATGTTAAATATTAAAAATTTAATATGTTTTGGCATTTTAGTTACACAATCTTTTTACTTTTACTGTTACAATTTAAGGGAAAAATCTGGGATTGGAATGGTATGCAGGCAGACAGGAATGTTTTCTGGATTTTTATTTGTTTATCTTTAGTCATGAACAGACTGAGTTCTGTCCATCTCCATGATATGGGTTAGTGATGGCAAAACTATGGTCCGTGTCAAAGGTGACATGTCAAGAATATTTTGGGTGACACATCCATGGTCATAAATGGATGATAACTATTCTCAAGAGCATATCTGATCTCAAGTAATTTTTGGAGGTTACAGAGGCCATGTGAGAATGGATTATGCTATTGTGAAGTGTACAGAGCCTCAAAAATTGTAAGAAAATGAGATCTGCTTTTGCATGCTTTTCTGAGGCTACAGAGCCCATGGAAGGGCATTCTCTGACGCTGTTTTAAGAATGAAGGTCTCAGGTAGGGACTGTCAACAGAAAGAGAATCCCACTTAAAGGTTAGCAGTGCATAGTAGATCCTGGGGAGCCCTGTGCCACCAAGACAATTGCACTTTTCTTCAAGTCTTGTCTGCCTTGGAAAATGGTGCAAAAAGCCTTTTTTGAGTTGCAGCGGTAGTGTCTAAGGCTGAAGTCAAGGCCTGGGCTCCATTTCAGGCCCAGCCTTGGTGCTGCTGTCAAGTGCTTTTGTTCAGAGTGGCCTAGATTTTTGGGGGGGTGGGGGGTGGGGGATGATAGAGAATTATTTCTCTTTTGTTCGAGGAAGTGTGTGTATGACACACCAGTTAGGCATTTTCTGAATTGTTGACATGCCAAACCCCAAACCCCATCACTGATATAGTACTGCAGAATATTTGAGAGTTAACAGCAAAACCTAAGCTTCCTAATATATTTAAGGCAAGAGATCATTCATGTAATCATGGCTATCCATTAGGAGAAACATGGGGGAAAGTGACAATACAGAGGTCACAGTTATGCATCTGAAGTAATTAAATCATTTGCCTCATGACATGACTGATATAATCACTTAAATTGCATTATTCATGTGTTATCTTGATGATGCACATGATTTCATCATGGCTTCTACCAGCTCCTTAATATGTACTTATATTTTAATATTTACTACCCATATTTGCTTGCAGTAATATCATGTGGTACAATCAAAGCAGAATGAATGAAAATGAAATAATTTTTGGCTGATTTAGGCTAAGACCTTAGTCTTCTTAGTCATATAATTACCTCCCATGTTGATTTGTTTCCTACCGTCATGTATTGAAAGATTTGTCCTCATCTGATAATCATTTTACATTTTCTGCATAGCTTCTCCCCTCTTCTAATTTTCTCAATTTTATTTTAATTATCTCATCTCAATTCAAATCATTGTATTTATATTTTCTGTCTGTCCTGTTTCAATTATCTATTATCTTTTCTCATTAAACAAAATTTCTCCTGTAATTACTGATTGGAGTATGATGCCCTTATATCTTTTCCCTAAAGTTGTAACATTCAATATAATACATAACTTCCATTCGGATTCTGCTTGGTACATTCTTAAAATACACACTGTATTCTTAAAAAAAGAAAAAAGTTATAAATGTATATAATTAAAACAACATTCCATTCCAATTCAATTCTATCATTAATATTAATATTCATTAAAGTCTTAACATCTTTAAAATTACTTTTCAATTAAATATCATACTTCTTTGGGAACAATTATAAGCTTTCCATAGTTAATTCCCCCCTCCCTCTTTACTTATATTATATAAAACATTAACTAATTAAAATGTTCCCATTCCTTCCTAATTCAATTTTCTCATTTATTTTATTTCACTTAGTTTATTCACAAACATTTCACTAAATTACACTAACTCTTTTATCCCACATTTTAATCATACGTTGTTTCCAATTTTCTAAAGTTATTTCTATTACTAATATATGTACCTTTTACTATTACTAATCTTATGTACCTTTACAGAATCCCTTTTTCAGTTAGATTTTCACCCATTATCTCTAAATAGGTCCTGTTTCTCTATATTTTGCTCTGGTCCTTTGTAACTTCTTTTCCTTTCCTTCTTCCCTCTCTTCTTCTCTCTCCCCTTTTTACCCCCTTGTCTCTCTACCTCTATTTCTCTCTTCTGTATTCCCCTTTTCTGTTGCTTTCCAGTATTATATTTATTTTTTTGAATTATTTTTCTTTTCTTTGGTTGTTTTTTTAAGTCTTAAATTCTCCATTCTCTTTCCCCCCTTTCCTTTTTCTTCCCCACATAAAATTACTTGTTCATTAAAGGTGGCTTCTTCTTTGTCCCAGTCTTCTTGTTTTGCAGTCTTTTCTTGTAGTTCCAAATCTCCATTTCTAAGAATTGAAAAACGAAGCCAAAAGAACCCTTCCCTTCTTGTGCATCTTCTTTGTACTTTTTAAGTTCCATTTTCAATTCATCCAGAAGTGGTGCCATTGTATAAATTTTTAAACAACCACCCAATTGATTATAGTCATTCAAATATAATAACCAAAAATCCAAAGATCACCAAATAATCCAAATACACGCAAGCTGTTTCTTTTTTTGCTCTTTTTTTTCACTTTCTCTTCCTGGGGTTACTATTTAGTTGCAAAGTTTCAGTTAAAATGTATCTTTTTGAAGTCTTGCTGAAGTTTTACTTTAGATTCTTTTTAATTGCAGGCAGTCTCCTCCCTCTTCCAGATCCTGCCCTTATTCTTTTTCTCTCCCTTCCTGCTTATGAAAAAGAAAGTTTTTAATGTCCAGAAATCTTTATTATCCCTTTGGCATTTTGTTTTATTTTCAGCTAATTGCATATTGATGTCAACGTGGATTTTTCCGATTTCTTATATAAGTCTCTTAGTTGTCAGTATAGGGAAGGAAAGAGAAGAAAAAAAAACCAAACCTTTCCCTTTTCACTTTCCTTCACTGCTTCCGACTCTTCTTTGGGAGCAATATTATTTTTTGTAAGTTTAAATTCCAGGGTACCTTGGTTGTTGCTTTTACAATTTAACCCGGTCAGCCAAAACTTTCACTTCTTATCTTCCTCCTGCACATTCTTTTCTGGTCGAGTTCTTCTTTGTGGTGGCCATTTCTGACCACTGCTGCAACCGCCTTTGGGAAAGGGAGTAATGGCCAGCTGAGGAGGAGAGATGCGGCTCTCCTCGATCCTGCTGGCGGTCTCCCCACTCTTCACCACCTCTATGGGGTGGCTTAGCCCCGAAATAAGCCGGCTCGGGGCGCTCCAGCGGTGAGCCCAGACAGAAACCGCGCACGATTGCGGATTTCTGTCTGTCACTGAAGCCCTTCAAACCGGAAGCCCACATGGATTCTTATGGTTATTTTGAAAATTGTGAACTTTGAAACCTCTGCTTCCCATTAAATGGATACTGATGCATTAAAGTAGCTTTCCCCCAAAATGGTGAACATCAATTATTGGTTGTAAACTTTATCCAAATCAGGTAGAAACATTACTTGAAAGCAGCTGCATAGTAAAATAGCCTTTCTAACCCCATGCTACTACATATTTGTAGAAAACCTTTTTTTGTTTTTATTGTGTCACAGAGAATTGAATGGCCAATTATACAGTCTCTTCTAACCTATTTCTGTGCAAGTATTTGTACTGTAAAAGGGCATCATTGTAAATGCAGATTGGCCAGCATTTTATCAGATGATCACAAGGATGCTGCAATGGTTAGAATTTCAAAATGTAATAGAAAGTTCATTGAGGAGTTGTAATATATACAGCATTGCAATAATTTAACCAGAAATGTTGGTTTCCTTAAGTACAGAAAGTATTTTTTGTGCTTTAGATCTTCCCTTATGGCAAATTTTAAAAATCGTCATAAATTGGTTTAGGTCCATAAGATGACTAGATTTTTTTTAAAAAAATAATTTCATTTCAGCATAAATTTCCACTGAAGGCCTATTTTCCTCATAATCCACATTCACTTGTGATGGCTCTTCTTAAATCTCCTTCAGGTAAGCTTACTTCTGTTTTTTCGTTAATATGAGTTCAGTAAGCAAACAATATTTTGTTATGCTTATATCTCCCATATTTCCATCAAAATATGCCTAAGACGTGTTCATATTCTCTTTAGATTTGCCTGATAATGGTGTATATCAGCATTTAGACCACCTTGCTGGAATGCTCAAAACAACAGTAGAGATCAAAGGCTCTGAGTAAGCAACAGGATTTCCTTTCTTCTTTTTTAAAGATCGTCGTACTTTGTGAGCTATCTTTTTTGTATTTTGCTGCCATGTATGGGAAACAAACTATTATTTTCAATGCCTTATTTCCGTTACCATAAAATTAGCACTATTGCATATTACTATTCCCATTGATCTTCAGATAAAAACATTGCTAGTTTTAATAGTTGCAATTTAGAGCCTTCTGAGAACTTGTCATATTCCAATAGAGTAGTACCTTGGTACTCAATTGCTTTGAAACTCATTGAATTTGGTACAGCCCATTTTGACACGAAAACTTTGTCGCAGTACTCGTTTGTTTGGAACTCAATACACAAGCTAGAACTTATCAGTGTCAGCTGTCTTGTGACTCAGTACATTATTTCTTATGAAAACAATTATTTGGTACTCATTGCTTTTGGTATTCATTGCGCCTTCTGTAGCCAATTAACAATGAGTATTAGGGTACCTCTGTAAATAGAAAAGCTGATGCACATTTTGATGTTTTTCCAGGTCTTTGGATGAACTCTTCAACAATTGGTTTTTGTTGATTCACTTTGGAGAATGGGCTGATCTTACAGCAAAGCAATTGCTGTTGTCACAAGCAGAGTCTTCTAACTTGTTGTGGCTTTTGGTATTTTACTATAGTCCAAACAACATGAATCAGCAGAGAACTCAAATAATGGTAAGAAGTTCTAGCTATGGTAATATAATATAATAATATTATATATAAAATAATAATGTTTTGAAAAACAAAGCAGATATTTTTGTGACAATGCTTGCAAAACAGCTCAGAAATAATTGCTAAAGCATCCTTCATTAGCTTTCTTTTAAAGTCTTCAGGAATGAAAAATAAAGAGTGGTTTAAAGGATTAGATAAATGAGAATGAGATGGCCTAACAAAAGCCCCCATAGCCCCATGGCTTGTATAAGATCCAAGATTTGTATTCCGCCAATTATATTCTCTGATGGTTCTTACTTCTAAATTATTTAGTGAGAAGATTTTATGGCTTTTGAGAGTCTCATTGTGTGACCATATGTTTAAAACTTTGAGTGTTAACAATAAGACAGTAGTTCTACAATGATCACTAATGGTGAAAGTAGGTTAACCTTATATATCATATGTGGCTTTTTCTGGTATTATTTTGCCAAATACTTTTTAATATAAAGATGGGTGCTATTAATATAACTATTTTATTAAATAATTTTAATATAAAGGGTGGTGCTATTATTTTAGTGATATTACTGAATTTTATCCTACCCTTAAAATGGCTTACTTTAAGTAAAATGTCATTTAGCTCAGGTAGTCTTGGGTTACAAGAGCAAATGGGACCAGAACTGTTGTTGCTAAACGATGCAGTTATAAAGTACCATGTTAGATGGCCACATCACTTGGTAATGGCAATCCCAATTATTATCATAACCCCAAGACAATGCAGGTTATTTAAGTGAGGTCATGTGACCATGACATAGCAAGTGAGGAGTCCCAGAGAAGCAAGCAGATGGGAGAGGATGGGCGCAGAAGTTGGATGAGGGAGCACAGATGGGTAGTTATTATCACCGCACTGAGAAGGAAAGGCACGAATTCTCTGCATACCATTCCTGGGTGGGACAGTCCCCCCTCTGAGTAGCAAAGTGGGAATGTTTCTGTGGTGCCTCCCCTGCACCTGGCCGAATACCTGGTAGCAATTGCTGGTGGTTATTTGATTATAGGCTTCCTGCCGAGCAAATTATCTGGAGAAGGTGGGGGTACTGTGCACAACATGACCGACAGAGGCCCCACACCATAGTTCTTGAGGTCAGCCAGAGTTGGCAAGCCCAGCAGAGGTGAAGAAGATGACAAAGATCTTCTGGGAGTGGCGATGGGAGGGGGCATTGTAAATGCCAGTTGGCCAACATTTTGATCATATGATCACAGGGATGCTGCAATGGCCAGAATTTTGAGGGACAATTGTAAATCCATGTTTTTCAGCACCATTGTAACATTGATCAGTCATTGAACAAATAAATGTAATTCAAGGACTACTTCCCCTGCATTCTATTATAGAACTGAAACACTGTGTTAGGATTCCGGCGGTTACTCCAGTTAAATCATGAATCTCAAGCCAAACTTCCAAAAATTCGAAAGGATTATTGGGAGTTAACATGTCCAGCACTGTCTGGGTGTAGCCGACTCTGAGAGACATAATTGTCACCCTTGACCCTGGTTTTCCCCCACCCCCTGGGTGTATTCATATTCTCCAATGAGACACATCCATAGCCAAGAGTCATCAATCATGTTCTCCAGTTAGAATTTTGCTCCGCAGAAACTTCAGTTACCTAGTTACTATCTTTGAAAAACTATTTATGGAATGCACTTTCGCTTTCCAAGCTGCTACACTGCTCTTTCAAACCCCCTCCCCCCCCCTTTCTGTTGAAACTCTAAAAAGTCCATAGAAATATTTTATGAGTTGACACTGGTCTAAAGCAGAATATTTGTCTTTCTCTTTCTTTTTCTCCTAAATTCTTATTAAAACATTCTCATTCATTTTGTCTCTTTCACATTTCTCAGCGAGCTGACAATTAGGGTAGTCCATTGGCTCAAGGCCAGAGAGCAGTTAAGTCAGTCAAGTTGCTATTAACAATTTTCAGGTGGTCTATGTAGTGATGACAATTGAACATTCCAGTGCTTCTCTCAAGGATAGACTAACACAACAGTCATTAATATTTATGTTTTGATTGCCCTTCTATGGCATCTATGCTTAATATACATTATAATATTCATAAAAAGTCTCCTTGGATAGGAACAGCTTTACTGAAATATAGTATTAAATACATAATTGCGAAAGAGCTACTAGTAATAACAGAATCTAAGGTTGTCTTTGGCTAGTAGAAAGTAGCACAACAGTTGGCACCACAAAATATTTGTAATTTCTGTTAATGTTACTTGCCACTTCCTTTGCTTCCCCAAGTCCCCTTTCATTAAATTATTGTCAGGGTTCCATTTGCACCTTTAATTTCTGTAACTGCTCATGTCCTAAGTTAACATTTTACAGTAAATAGTTTCCATCCCACATTTCTTTTTCTATAGTTGCAACATAGATGCCTAAGAAATTAAGGATAAAAGGGTTTCCAAAAAAAAAAAAAAAAAGCAATGTCTGCAGCAATTTCCACAAAGAAAAGGAATATATTTAATCCTTGAGCAGACTAAAAGAATGAAACTGCCATGAAACATATGAAACTTTATAGAAGATTAAGTTTAGAAATGAATTTCTGGGTAAATTACTGGATGTGGAAATTATCCTGAGCTAAAAGTTAAATTATCTGAGTACTTTACATCATGCATTTCAAATAATACGGTTTATAGAAAGGCTACTTTGATTTGTTACTTAGTGTAAGACCAGAACAATTCTATTTAAATATCAAACAAAAATAAGTTTCAGAAAATTTATGTTTGAAAGAAATGAGATAAATTGTCACTGGTTTTTATGCTCTGCCTGCTTGCTAATTATAGTTGTTTCTTAGTGTTTTCTACGTAGCATTTTATAGATAAAATAAAGAATATGTATTCCATCTCCAACACCATTGTTAATTTTTATCCTATCAATGTTGGTTTCCCTTTTCTCATTTGGAGAATGTGGGCCAGCATTATCAGGGAACTGAAACTTACATTTGTATTTAAGCCTTCAGAAGTTCAAGAAACCAGTCCTAGCTACTTCCTTGTTCTGGCTACCTTTGAATAATCTTATTTCTTGAGAAAAGTAGGTCACAAAAAGGCAGAGGGCTACAGTGTAGATTTCAGCCACTATGATCTCTAGCTTAAGCTGGCTTGCATGACTAAGGCAGGACTAGAACATATAGCCTCCTCCTTTCTAGCCCGGCGCCTTAACCACTACACCAAGCTGGGTCTCATAGGTCGGTTAAGGGCTGACACCCCTTAAAAGCTGCCTTTGGGAGTTTGGGTTTGCCTATTTTGATTGTCATTTTTATTTAATGAATGTTATTATTGCGTTTTTAAGTTATGGGTCACCAAGAATCTTTGTTAGATGGTGGCAAGGATAAATATGTTATATGTAAATATTTGACTTTGGGCACAATTCATGCAATACTATATAGTGATTGACAATAGAAAAGGAATGGATTGTGTGTTTAACTGTGAGATAAAGGCATTTAAACAGGAGATTTGCATATTGATTTTTATTTCTTTTCTATCCCTGACATGGCTTTTATGTAGTAATTATTTCAAGTTATATCTGGCCAATAATTTCCTTTAATGCACAGACCATCAAATGTTGCTTCCATTTTGGCTCCAAAAGCTGTTTGTTCTAGCTGGTTGAAGAGGTAAAAAGGTGGGGAGGGAAACTTTTGACCACACTACTAGGAGGAAGCCAAACACTTGAATTCTTATCAGAATTTTTTATCAGAAGAGGTCAGATTGCATGGAGTTTAACTGATTTGTAGTTGTAGCATTGTGGTGAGCCCTCAAAGCACCTTCTGTTCTTTTCCTCACAAAATATTTTGCGTCTTTCCTCTTCTAGCCCACAGTTGCCTTCCCTTCCCCACTCTATTACTTTCCGTGTTACCAGCCTAGGAATCCAGTCTGTACTTTTCTGCAAATTTCATGAAATGAATATGACTTTTATTCTTCGGCTAACCCTTTAATTCCTTCCAATTATTGTCAATAGGTAGAAGCTAGATCTGCATGTGACTATCTGACAAGCCTTTCAAGGATGCCAACCATTTCTGTTGCAGACCTACAAACTTTATTCAACAGCAAAACCACTCTAACTGCAACTAAACATATTGTTACGCATCTGATTATCAGCTTTGTGCTATTTACTCCTAATGGACACAGCATAGCCAGAGAATTTATTGCCTACGTAAGTTTTATTTTTCCCTAATAGCAAATTCACGTACTGAAAAAAATAAGTCATTTATATGTCTCAATTTTTCCACATGGTACTTTCTTGATGTGTTTGGCTATACCTCCCATCACTCGAGATAGTAATCATAAATCAGAAATGGGAATTGTAGTCTGATCTAGCAATTTGAAATGATTAACTGGTTTTGACTAAAGGGATAAGTCATATGTTTTTTTTCCCCCAACCTTCATTGGATTTAATTTAATAAGGTCCTGTGCTTTGGCACGTTTTACTGCTGCTCAGCTCTTGAAAATAATTAGCAGAAGATCCTCTTTGAGGAATAATTCTGGTTCCCTCCACACTGGGCAGAACAGAAACTAGTCAGCAACAAACACTTCTACTTGAGAAATCATTAATACCCCTTTCCCTGTTTTGAGTCCTTTTTTGAATGAAAGAGCTTTTTTTAAAAAAAAATTGCTTTCTCTTTTGGTCTGTGAATATCTGTGAACTATTTAGCATCTTAGAAAGCAGGAAAATGTTTGCCTGAACCATGAGGTAGTATTTTAACTTTTAATTTTAGTTTTTTTTAAATTTAATTTTAATCCCTTCCCCCCAACTTCTTTCAGATTCTAGCTGAAAGTGATGAAATCCCACAAGTAACTGGACTTCTTACCCATATCTCAAATACAACTAGCCATCTTGGAGTGAAATATCAATGCTCTGTAAAGCTAGCAAATGATCTGCTCCAGGAATTCCGATATAGTGCTTAACAATTCAGAATTGTGGAAAAGAGAGAAGGTACCTGTTTTCCAATTGGGCATTTTCTGAAAGAGTCTGGGAGACAAATCTGTTATTTGTAATCTATATATTATGATGTTCATGTGACTTCTCTGCGTTTGCAGAAGTATTTTCAAAGTTACTCAAAAGTGCATTGTAAAGCTGTTTTGTCTTTGTGAGAAAATATTTAAAAGTGGCATTATTTATTGATGCCATCATTTACAATCTGATCAAACAGCTTATTTCTGCTATACCACTTAGTGGCATCTCAGCCCCATTACAAACACATGATTATTAGTGAGTCCCTTTTGAACTAAATGTTTCCATTAGATCAGTGACCAAACACCTCCTTGTGTTTCTTCTAACTTGTTTTTCTTCAACAGGAAGCAAATATCATATTTTGTGAAAGTGGCATTAGTCAGCAAATATATTTTCCTTTCCTGGGGCCATGGACCACAGACCTTTCCTGAGCTGCAGACTTTGAACACTGCCAAGGAAAGATTTGTGCAATTTAAAAATTGATTTTTTTAAAAAAAATTCTCCTTTCGTAACAAGCTGCTATTAAAAGTTTGTACATTCAAGGATAAAAAGTCATAATGTCTCCCAATTTGCAATTTAAGAATCTTATCTCAATCTCATAAATAGAAGATTTGTTTGGAAAACTCTCACATTTTTTAAATAATGCACAAGAAGAACATTCTTCCTGGAAAATACACATTTGGATTTTTAGAAGTTTCCTTCAAGGCCTCTGATTTAAATCTCCTCCCACATAAGAATAATGGAGTTCTTATGCCAACATGTTTTTTGAGGGATGGGATGCATTCCAAAGACAAGCAGGAGAAAAAGTGTACCCACAAACATTAAACAATGATTAACATGAGCTACATCAGAATTTCATTGCTGAGCTGTATATATAAAATCTGGCCATTCTGCCCCCTGCACTATGTAACTGGTGTCTGAAATATGATGTTCTGGATCTCTTAATTTATATAAATTCGATTATATATCGATTCTGCCAACTAGCCCTTTAAACCTAGGAAAAATTATGAAATATAGGGATTTCTCTGCCCCTTAGACTATGTAACATATTTGCCAAATTAGGATCTGTTCCTCTCACTCCTGGAAATAAATAATGTGACTCTTGTAGAATTGGACAATGGCCATCATTCTCCAGTTAATCCTTCAATTTGCAACCATTCCAAATTATGATGGTGCTGGAGAAAGACGCTTAGGAATGGTCCTTGCCCTTACAATTGTGATTAACATCCAAGCACTTGGCAAGCAGCATATATTTACAAAAGGATCACATGATTGCCATTTGCAACTTTCCCAGCTGGCTTCAGTCAGTCAAAAGGAGAAGAAACCTTTGCTTAACGACCATGTGATTCGCTTTATGGCAAAAAAAGTTTGTATAATCGGATGCGATTCATTTTAACAACCCCAATGAGTAACCGCCAAAGTTCCCATCCCAAATGTGGTCGAAAGTCAAGGACTACTTATTGTGTATTTCAACATCATCTAGAGATCATTCATTTCAAAGTACTGATTTTAACAGTCTTTTTTCTTCTTCCTCCATTTTAGAAATTACTGTTTCTTGCAGTATTACTTGTGGAGCTTTCCTAGATCACTAAGGGACTCAAGTTGCATTTTTAGATTGCCGTTTTAAGGAAAGTTAGAAAAACAGCCTGTTAGGAGGTACCTCAGGTGCTCCTAATTCAGAACCACATGTGCTGTTTCCTATCAAGCTGTCTCATGCTTGAAAATTTGACACACACACCCTTTTTTAAAAGACATGTTCATAGTTGCAATTTAAATGCTATCTTAACATTGATTCTGGGAATTTGCACAGGGGTGGTCCATTTAATACCGAATGCCAGAACAGTTTCCCTTGCTTTTTCTGGCTGTATTCCTTCAACCGACTGTCTGAGTCTATAAAAGGTGTTAAAAGCCCTTGAGCTGCTTTCTGAAGGGCTTAAGTATACTCAAACTGACTAGGCCCTTTTAATGGCCAGCATTCTACAAACATCACAACTGTGACTGAAGTCTTGCATCCCCATTGCCATCCTGCCAACCAACAAGCAACCTAACCAACTTTCAATTGACAAGCAGCAATCCTTCAGTAGTTGATTTCTCCCTAGGCTTGTCATTTTGTTTTAAGCAATAGTAAAGTATAGAAAAAAGGAACTGTTTTACAAAACAGCTAAAGGTTTTGCTTTTCCACATTAAATTCTCTTATAATTAATCATAGTTCTCTTTAATTGGCTAATGAAAAATAACGACCAGACTCAAATTAGCCTACTTTGGATACGTTACATAAAGACCTAGCTCTCTGAAGGCGGCTCTTCAGAGAGCTAGAGAAAGGTGGAAAGGGGGAAAAAAACCAAACCACCACCAGCAAGCAAAGTGGATGGACTGACTTACAGTGGCAATGAGTTTATCTGCTGGAAAGCCTGAAGCACCAGATTAGGGACAGATTGTCAATCAACCTGTCAGATTCTCTTGGGCTCTTTTTGGGAGGAAGAACACTATAGAAATAAAATAATTATCACAGCATGAGAAGAACTGGAGGAAAACATAATGTCTGCATTTGGATTAAGAAGGTGTGCGTTGTCACTCATCTTCCATGCATTAAGTCAGAAACACAGTATATACAAAAGCACTAAATATCTGTCATTTAATACTTTATATATTCTTAATATGTTTTATGAAGGCGGGTTATATAGTCTTATTTTTATATCAAACAGAACATTAATTGATCTTGTGAGCATCAAAGAATTGTTATTTTGTACTCAACACTACTAAATGCATCTCCGATGTCTGGCATTAAAGGGAATTAATTAGCAATTTCCAAACATGTCAACAGAGGTCTCTTTCTTATTTAAACGGGAGAGCTGTGATGGAAGTGGATGCACATTTAAGAGAAATTCTTGAATGTAAAATTGACTTTTACCAAAAGCGAAATATTTCTTCTTGGGTTGTTCTTATTTGTTTTCATGGGTTTGTTGTTAATAATGTATGCTATCCAGAGCTTTTATGGAGTTTTGTATAGTGTTCTACATTTGGCAAAACAATCATCTTAATATAGTTTAAATCATGAGACAATTGTTTTCTTTGTAATGTTTTACTTTCTGAATTCCCTTACTCGGCCCATTATCTTTCACAGTGGAATAACAAAATGATGAGCAGCTTTTCCTTCATTGTCCTTTGCAAAAGGCTGTGAAATAGAGCACAACCTCTTTCAAGAATAGTTTGGATCCTTTCTTGAATACATCAAAAGGTCTACAGTAAGAGCTATTGCTGTAGCTCAGTAAGAGGCCATGCAGGCTCCAGATGTCTGCAGAGCTGAATCCAGGACTGCTAGCAGTTTAATTCAGCTGATTAAAATTTAGAAGCATTACTTTGGTTTAAGAGACAAAAAGGGGTAAATAGAGTTACACTGACTGGATACATGCATGAGTAATAGTGTGTCTCTCCTAGGACTAGGACACGGCTGCAGAGTTTTAACTCAGTACATCCACTGACAATTGAAAACTGAGTACGTGTGTATATACACACACACACAGTTAACAGATATGTCTCCAGCAATAAAAACTCTCCAAGTCACAATGTTTACATAATCTGTTTATTTACAAAATATTTATTTACAAAGAAAGGACTGATACAAATTCACATATTATTGAGGTTGCATCATATTGCTTTGAGTGAAACTGGTAGCCAGCATTGGGCACAGGAGAGCACTATTTCACGAATATTGTTTAATACAATGCCTATATTATAAGTGTGACTGAGTTAGGGCTTTATACTATAACAAAATCAGTAATCCTCCTTTAAACAAAGCACATCAGGTTCAATTTAAATTAACATAATATTTCCTTGATTGAAGGGTTTAGCTCTTTGTATATTTCTTTTGTCTTTTTGGCCTTGGATTCACAGTCATAATTGTATTTTACTATAAGAGAGATGAAGGACTTGTTCCTCCTGGTTTCTTTCACCTTCCAGAAAAAGACATACTCTGCATAACATGTTTTTCAGCTGATTGCTTTAGCAGCAACATAATTCTCCCTTTGATGTCCAGAGTCAAAGAAATTCTAATACCACCAGCATTTGGTAACAAATATAGTTAAAGTCTCTGCCTTTCCTGTAAGGGAAACAGTGGTAAAACATATTATTCTATCACAGTGGAACAATACTTTTTTTAAAAAATGCATGCAAAGTATTAGTAATAAATGTGATGACTATTCTTTACAACCCCACTTCTTAAGATGGCGCCTCTGCCACTCTAATTTTTCTTGAATGCAGACAGTGGGAAAGAATTGCAGCATTGGTAACTTGATGTTCTGTGACTATCAGGTTTCCTGTCAGCTTCTGTGCAATTTGAGAAGGCAGGAGACTGCGGTGTTCCATAACAGAAGGGAAAAATCACACCAGAATACTGTAAGGAACTTCTAACTATGCAATTATCACAGTTGTTGTGTCTAGGATATATATTTGAAGAAAACAACAAGAAAGTTCACAACTATCCTTTCTGAAAACATTGGAAGAATAAAGCATTTGAGAGATTACTTGTTACGTTTGTTGCTTGAGTTAAGAATTCCTTGACGCAACCTACACATACTTAATCATTGTGTTTTCTGCAGGATTGTGGCTGGGTAGCCCACATAAGGATTTGTGCTTCCCATCAAAATATCAATCTGTTCTAGCTTTGAAGTAAACATTAGTTTTCACCGACATCTGTGTACTCAGAAAAGATTTTCTGTTTGGTTTGGTTTTTTGCTTTAGGGCTCGACTCCTGTTCCTGCTGAACTGAGCCAGTATATAATATCAGAACTGATATCAGCTCAGTAGGCACCGGAGGACGGGTCCATCAACAGCCTGGAACAGCAACTGCTGTGAAGGGCAACTCCCATACCAACAAAAAGAAAAGAGCATTTATTAGAAACAATAGTAATTTGTCCAGCTTATTACAACTTGCAACTTGGATGCTTAAATGCTAAGTTCGTTTTAAAGGCAAATATATAAAAGGCTCCAGAGGTGGAAAGGCATTCTTGAGTTGATACACTACATTAGTATCTAAGGGCTAAGAAAACCCAAGTATAACAAACTTCTTTTAGAGCAGCTGAACTAAACTTGGATTTCCCCCCATAAAGGTTCTTTTCATTCCCGGTAGACAGAAGCATACAAGGATTGGGTGGCCTCTTCGTTGTTTATCATCTGCATTCTGTGAAAATACTTGCTATGATACAAACGCTGCAGGAGCAATCAGAACCTGAAATTTTAGGAACGGCTTGCATCTCACCTTCTCTTCAGGTGCAGAACTTAGCCACTGTGAACAAAGAGGAAATCAATCACTGTTCACCAATCAGCTAAGCTCTGCACCTCACTAGAGAGGTCTCCATCTGAACATAGTTAAAAAGCAGTTGAAGTTCTTCAATAGCTTCTCTGTGTATCTTAAGCATAGCAGGTTCCAAGAAGCTGTAACGGGATCATCATGAAGTAAGCCACAGAAGGTAATGTCATGGTTATGTGGTAATCCCTGGCAATGTGATTTTAATCTTAAATCACAAATCAGCATGCCAGGAACCCAAACAACCAAAACAGGAATAGAATCTGTACAAACTGTTAGTTGTAATAAGAATTTTATCTGAGAACTGAAGACTTAAAAAAACAACTTTCACATTTATGTTAGAATACATTAGTGCTATAGATCAGCTCTAGAAACAATTGGAATGGTGTACAAGTAAATTAAGCATTAAGCATAAGTAAATTAATGAAGATTATGAAATTATTCTAAAGTCGTATGGGGCATACTATAAACCATTTAAAACTGGTCCCCAAACTGGCTTGGCAGCTATTGGGGGGGGAGGGAAGAGGGGAACTGGGCTGTGCAGTAGGTGTGCGTGTGCACAACTCAACTTGTGGGAGCAACGGGCCAGCGTGCATGCACACACAGCTTTATCTGCATAAGTTGAGCTACATGTGTGCATGTGAACTGGCCCACCATTTGCACAAGTCAAGCTGCACACACATGCACACCAGCTGCCATTTGCATGGCCCAGTTGCGCATAGGCCATGGCCAAGCCTGGGGGTTGGGGACCCGATTTACAACACACTCCTTTTAAAGAAAGACAACCCAAAAAACACTACAAAGTATTAAACTGCAAGACATGTCACTTCCTTTCATTCTATAGTATGTGGGAAAAGATGCTTAAGAATTACAGGATTACAAAACAGGTCACAGAATTGATACCCGTCTCCTGAAGAAGATTTATGGAAGCAATTTCATAATCCTGGAGTTTCATTTTAATATATTGAACTTTCATACCTGAGAGTTCCCCCAATTTGCACCTACAGAATGCAGGCGTGGAAGGGATGCTTCAAGTACTCTCAATTAATTACTCCATACATGCATTATAAAATTACATCCCAGAAGTCCTAAACAGATGAGGGAAGTTTTTTATAATTAAATTTGCCCTATGAATACCAGTTATTCATTATATATATGTTAAGCATTTGGAACTGGTTTTTGATGTTCAAAGCATGATAGTAAATCAAAGCTAAATTGTTCTTAGTTAGCTTTTTTTTAAGATGTTCATACTCCCCTTAAAGTTGGCATTGGAACCATTATACTTCATGCTTTATGCAGTTAAAAAGGATGGAGTAAAAAGTTGGCATATTGTAAAATTCAAAAATGACTATGTATTTCAGAAGATTTTGTAGTTGACTGAGCTGTCTAGCAAAGATTCTAGCAAGTATGAGGAAAGCACTACATGGCTTGGAATTCATCCCAGCCCATACAGAAGCTTTTCATATAATCTTATATAAGTTACATATGAACTGTTGCTGCAACCTCTTACAAATACCTAACAGATACATAGTTGGAATTATCTTTTTCTTGAAGAGATTGATCAATTCGGGGGGGGGGGGGGAATAAACATTTGTTCACTGATAAAATAAGGATAATTTAAGGATTTTTTTTTTAATACTGTAAGAATTATATCAAGTCTTTTTACCTGATTCAAGGTTATATCGCTATTTTAGATGACTTGATACAATAGATCTGAAAACATTCTGTTATTTATAAGCTTTCTTGTGGTACAGCTGCTGTGCCTTTGAAAGTACCCAACTAAATTATCGGGGGAGGGGGGAGAATCACCTTGTCATATAACATTTCTGCCACTACTTTAGCTGAGGATGCATCCATGTGGTCACGGACTATAGCAAAAGTTTTAAAGGCAATTTCTTGTTGTTTTGCATCCTCATTCAACATTAATTCTCCATAGAGGTAGACACCCATTGCCTGTAAGAGGAAGAAAGCCATCATATAGCGTACCTTTGAGACTTTAGGATAATGCAACCAGTCATTACTTCTGAAACCCAAGCAAAACTGAAATGTAATTATCTCTAAGGAAAACCCAAGCAAATAAGCGAGTTTCTGCTTGAACAAATTTACTTCCACCTTGAATATGACCTAGATGTTCTATGATCAACCAATTTATTTTGCATATGAAAGTTCCAAATTATTCAAAAGTACTGTACTCCAAGTGGTAAGACAACAGGATATTCAATAATATTTCATGAAAATCCCATATATTATTTATGAATGAAATCTTAATTGAAGGAATAATTCCTTGAAAAATTTTTAGAGACATAATATTTATTAAAAGGTATACCTTGATATTGACGGGAACAAATGCCATGTATCAAATAGACATGAAACAAAAATTAATTGACCTCAATGCAA